GTGTGTGTGTGTGTGTGTGTGTGTGTGTGTGTGTGTGTGTGTGTGTGAGAACGCACTGGCTCTTTATTATATAGTAGAGAATACCTCTGTGTTTTCTATTCAGTTATGTGTATTATGCTTCCCTCTCTTTAGATTTAGAGTTGCATGGGCCACTGATTTTTCTGTCTCTATGTCTCCCCCTCTCTCTCATTCTGTGCCTTTCTTCCTCACTGTGTCTGTCTCATTCTCTTTCTTTGTTCCATGAAAGCAAGCATTTCACTTGTCATGGGACCATTTTTCTATGTACACAGTTTTTTTTCAGGAAGTGTACAGTTTATGACACTTCTTTTATGCCTTTGCTTACTACCAATGATAGTATACATTACTAATCTCTTGTCAAATTATGTGTTTTTTTTTACCACAAAGGCTGTAATTCATTTATAGGTAGTATATCCATGAAAACTTGCTTTTATGATTGCAGTCGTTAGCGTTTTAACTAGGTCTGATTACTTCAGAAACTCTTTCTGCGAGCTGTTTAGTAATTGGGTAAGCACTAATAACAATGTTGTTGTGGTATAAATAAAGAAATGTATGTCTGTACTAATATACAGTATGTGACTGTCTTCAACAGTGCCAGCGTTGTGCGCCCCTCTACAATGACAAGCCATTCAAGTCAGGTGACCAGCTCCAGCCTATGAACTGCCGGTCTTGTCAGTGTCATGGCCACGCCCCCACCTGTCATTATGATGTCAGAGCCGATGACCAGCCAGATGAGCACTATCGAGGAGGAGGAGGCGTCTGTGACAACTGCATGCACAACACCACGGGTAAAGTTTTAGCAACAAAAGATAGCTAATTATCTTTTCACATTTCATAATATCTAAATGTGTCATTTAAAGGATGGCTTTCATGTCTCTTAATCAACCTTAATGTTAAAGCACTTTGAAACAATTACAGACCAGATGTCATAATTAGTGCTGGGCAACGATTAAAATATTTAATCGCGATTAATCGCATGGATTTTTTGCGATTAATCACGATTAATCGCATTGTTATGGCAGAGTTCAATAATGAATTCAAAAGTAGTGTATTGCGCACTTTTATTTTAAAAGTACTGCTATATGAACAAAAGGGCAATAACATTTGGTTCACGAGATGCAGGTAGCATGTTTTATACTTAATGTGAATATAATTCATACTTTGTTGGCATCTTATTCTGAAAATCGGATGTTCGTCTGAAGAAACCGGATGTTGTCTCACGTTAATCTTTCCGCTAACTTTCAAAGTCCTTCGCTCGCTCTCGATCTGTGCCGTTTAAATGAGTTTACCGTGAATTTCAGCATATAGGTGCACTAAAATGTAAGTGTCTGCTGAGTTGACCATGGAGATCTGAGTGTCTGCTGACTTTACCACAGCGATGTCCAGTAGTCTCCAGGGAGAGCAACAGCTGGTGCAGCTTCTCTCTTTATTTCTGCCCCCCCCCCCCCTCCCCCTCGACCAGAAGCGGAAGTCGCCTTTTCTCTACGGCAACGCTGAAGGGACATCATACAGTATCTCCAATACAAAACGATAAACATGACAGTCTGTTACAATAATAATAAATTAAAAATACTTACCTGTTTTTTGTTGCTGTTGTTTTTTAATTATTATTGTTATTATTATTATTTTTTTTTTCCCATCTCAAAAGGCTCAAGGACACACACACACACACGCACACACACATACACAACTGACTATAGGATGTTTGCTGGCTTTTATCCCACTGTTCTTGTCATCCTCTTGTTATGTATATGTATTGTCTCTTGTCTTTCAATTAAAAAAAAAAAAAAAATAAATAATAATAAATTTAAAAAATGCGTTAACGCGCGATAAAATAATTGTCGGCGTTAATTAATGAATGCCTTAACGCGAAATGAACGCGTTAACTTGCCCAGCACTAGTCATAATCCTTCAGATGTTACTTCTATCATTACAGGATGTTGAGCTGGAAAATGTCTATGCTGAAATGTGCACTTTTTTAGTATTTTTAATCAGCCATGTAAAGAGAGATGGTAACTGTAGTAGTAAGTGTACTGTAAGTGAGAGTGGGATTTATGTAAAAACAGATGCAGACAAATACAGTTTTACACAAGTCCTTATTGCATAGTTCGAACAATGAAGGGAATTAGAGGGTTGGGGATTTTTATCTTATATATCAAATTGACTAGAAGTGATTGCAGTGGTCATTTGGGGGGTGGTCATGGAGTGTTTCATGCTTCTTATGTAATGACATATTGTCACATGTGTGTCAGTCAGATTTACATGATGCTGTGAAACCACTTTTCCAATGAAGCAATATGGTTTAAACCTGGACTTTGATCTCTCTTCATCCCTGCATGATTTCTACCTGTTCTTTTGAATGTCTCGTTCTCTGTCTCACCGTGTTTCTGTCTCTCAGGTAAGAACTGTGAGCTGTGTATCAGTGGGTTTTTCAGGCTGGAGGGATCTGATCCCACTTCAGTTTCTTTGTGTCAGCCTTGCAACTGCAACACTGCTGGGACTGTCAACAGCAGCATGGAGTGTGCCCAGGTACACGCCAACGAAAACGGCAAAATGTTGATGACCACTAAAACACTTGCATTGCTTATTTTAATTATTTCAATGTTTTCAAGTTATGTGAAAACCTGTGTTCTTCTCTCACTTGACTGTCCCTCTCTTCCTCTGTACCTCACCTCCAGGTAGGACGTCAGTGTCAATGTAAGGCTGCAGTAACAGGTCAGCGGTGTGTAGACTGTTTGCCTGGTTGGTATGGTCTCAAAGCTTCAAATCCAAATGGCTGCACCCGCTGTAACTGCAGTGACATTGGCATCATCAGCACCTCAACGGGAGTTCCCAGTTGCAACCAGGACACAGGACTGTGCCAGTGTAAACCCCATGTCACAGGTAAACCAACCCCTGAAAAACGTTGGCTAAAACTTCAGTTTTTAAAGTTGTAATATCTATTTTGTGGTTTTATTTTGATGACATATTTGATGGTAGGTTGCCAATGCTTTTGCACTGCATTTCTCAATCATGTGTGTTAGAGTTGCTTCTTTCCACCTGCTGGCGAGAAACCTTTTGAGGACAGTGTAACACACATGGAAGTTCCTGCCACACCCCTAAATGCCCCCCATACAAACCATGCAACCTGATTGTGTTTGATGGTTGAATAAATATAAAGAAAAGATAAGTTATTTCAGGGCTATATGATCTCTTCAGACCTTGTTATGTTACCACAGAAGCACACCTCTCAACCCCAAAATGTATGCTCCCTAAAATAGTTTCTCTTACAAAATGTCCCGAAGTACTTTGTCGATAACTTGTGCTTTTCATTAGAGCAGTTCCTCTGTCCGGTAATGGCCTCTTAATTAATACATAGACGCAGCTGCTCATTGGGGTGCACACAGAAGTAAAAGTGGATATACCGGGTGCAAAAACCAAACCAGGCATGTGCATACACACAGACGTAAACACACATACAACCATATCCCAAAGTGTTTTGCCAGCCAAAATAAACAGGCTTTTCTGCTGGGGGTGCTTCCAGCCGTTGTGCTTCTCTTTGTGATAAATGGTTTCACTCGCTCCCCTGTGTGTCTTTGAAGAGCCGGCTCGTATGAAATGCAAAACCAGCCAACGCTCCTCAACTCAACGCATCATGGTTATTGCTAAGCCTCGCTATCTAGGGCCCATGGTTGTGCGCGTGAGTGCGCGCATGTGAACTTGTAAATGTGCGTAAGAGTATCTGTTTATGTTTATGTATATGTAAGAGGGAGAGAGCCTGGATGTGACCGTGTGTTCATGTACTTTTGTCTCTGCATAAGTGTATGTATTGTATGATAGTAAGAGTTTCTTTGTGTGTGTGTGTGTGTGTGTGTGTGTGTGCACACGCATACCATGAAGGACTAAGCTGGTATTAAATTCTCTAATTCAATGCCAAGTTGATTAAAACAAACTGCTGCATCCCCTTGTATTTTTCCCGCTCCTTCATACAAGACCCACTTTCGTTTTTTTTCTGTCCTTGTTTGTTTGGTTGCTCCCACAGGTATTTTTCAGAAATGAGATTTGATTATGGCAATTTATTACCGCCAAGCTGATACTTTGAGTAGAGCAGTTGCAGGCACGCTACAGAAGGACGGAAATGAAATGTGTGCACACAGACAAAGTTACACACACGCACATTCATAACAAGGTGCCAGAGTGCAGTGTGTACATAATAGTGTTTGAAATGGTGATGCATGAGCCTGTTAACCAGCTGGCTACTGGAAAAAGAGTTGGGCCATGTCCCGAAAACACACACTCATTTGGGAGCGTGCAACGGTGCACGCCCCAACACAAAATTACCTCTTGTCTGTGCTGATCTAAAATCTTCTAACACATTCTGTGTTCTCACTTTTCTTTTCTTTTTATTGTCTTCTGATTTTTTTTTCGTTTTTTTATTTCCTTTCCTTGAATCTTCTCAGTTGTTTCTGTTGTTGTGTTTGTTGGACCTCCTGTTTGAATGTCGCAAGACTTTCTGCAAAAGCAGGATTCGAAAATACCAACTTGTTCAGCTCAATGTCTAATATATAAATAGAAAACATGATAACTTTTTATAATGGGTGTGGGATTCCTTATAAAGTGTTTAGCTTCATTTGGGGGGGGGGATCACAAAGTACAATACATCACAGCATTGTTAGGGTTGTAAGCATTATTCTGTCAGCCTGCATATTTACCACCAGCACACTCAGACGTGCACACACACCTCAACACACACATGTGCACACGCAGACATGTCTTCACTGCACTATTATGAAATATGATCTGTGGAGAGGAATACATTCATATCTATAAAATCATTAAAGTGGGCATACCAGGGGAAATGCCAGGTGTCTGCCGCACACTGAGTAGGACACGCGCACACACACGGACAAGCACACACTCATGTGCACTAACACAGATGTATAGATATGCTCTCATGAATGTATGTGTGCGCACACACATTTTCACACACCCACATACGAACACACGCTCCCTCATAAACGGCTGTGGTGACTGCGTTGCCCCCAGGCATCCATTTAGGGACAGATTGCCTGTCATGGAATACTTATGGCATATTCAAATAAGCCCTGCTCGCTCATACTGCATATCATAGTTTAACTAGCCTTACAGCCGAGCACTGCCGCTGTAGCCACAAAACCTCCCACAGTATGATCAGTCTGTTATTATACAAAAATTATAAACAGAACAAACATAGTTTAAGAAATAATTTGTTTCAATGTTGCACTGATGAGAAGAGCTGAAGGACCAACATTTAAGATAAAACAATGAATGCATAAAGAGCGATAACTGAAGTGAAACTGTGAATCGATTAATTTTGCATTCTTCACTGCTCCTTCTGTTATTGATGTTGAGTGAAGTTTATGTTTAAAGTATGAAAGGCCTCAAATGTTCACACTGAACACTCGTTAATAATAAGTTGCATTTTTTTAAAATTATTTTCTATGTTTTAAAAAACAAAACTGTTAATAATGAATAACTCCAAAAAGATAATTTGGTAACAAGCAGAAATACTTTGTTTTTCTTTAAGTACTTTATAGCCAATTTAACTCACCTTTTCTTTTCTTCTTTTTTTTACACCAGGTGGTAATTTGGTATCATTTTTATGTTCCTCTTTCCATCTCTCTTTTTCCTCTTTTTCTTTCCCTCCATCCTTTTCTTGTAGTTGCTTAATTTATTTATTTTCTCGCTCAGTGAAATTAAGTGTTTGGCCTTAGGTGAGTGATCCATCATATGTAGAGGGCCTGGCCCTAATGACGGCAGTTTTATACACTCGCCCACCATTTCTCGCTCCCTCTCCCTCTCTCATACACGCACACACACACGCACACACAAGCCTGCAAACAGAGAGAGGCTAAACGCTTGTTGGTGAACAAGCAAGCATCAATTTACTTTTTTTATTTCTATATCCTTTCTGGTTCTCCCAGCAGGTCCCACTCTGTCCTCTCCTACACAGTTCTGTAAATGCCTTCTCTCGCTTTCTTTCCAGGTCTGTCTTGTGACCGCTGTGAGTTTGGTTATTGGAACCTGTCCCACCCAGACGGCTGCATCCAATGTGACTGTGACCCCCTAGGTTCCCTCAGCCCGTTTTGTGAGCCTGAGGGGGGGCAGTGTGAGTGTAAGCCTGGGGTGGGGGGGCAACGCTGTGACTCTTGTGGCAGGGGTTCGTATGGTCTAAGACTGGAGGGATCCTGTGCCCCCTGCAACTGCTCACAAGAAGGGACAGTACCTGGGACAGACTGCGATCCTCACACAGGAAATTGTGTGTGTAAGGCAAGTTAACAAGTATACATTTTCTTATGACAGTTTATATTATTACAACCATGGGGGAATTTGCCGTAATGGGAAAATGAAGCCAGGCTCTCCCCTCCAGCTTGCTGGTGGCCACTGGCCGGTGAATATCAGTTACATTCTGACAAAATATATGATGAACACTCATCAAATATTCTAAACATTTTAAAAACAAAAAACTTTTAGCATTTTGAGTAAAAAAAAGTAGTAGAAGCCAGATAGTTTAGAAGTGTGGTATTGGTTTGTGAGCAGGAGAAAACTGAAAAAAGGGCGTTACGTACAGATGAAGTGGTCAGATAAGCTTTTAACCTTTATTTTAATCTAAACACCAAGACCACTAAAGACCCATCTGGACCTAAACTCTTGTGGGATTAAGTTTTCCTCACCCATCTCTTTTGAATTAATTCGTCATCATCTGAATTGTCCACACAGGCAGCTGTGTGATCCACACAGCTGCCTGACTTAGTAAATCCATAACCAGGATGTATTAAACACAGTCAGACTGTCAACTTTTATTAAGTGACTCACCAGTTCAATACCTTATTGGAGATTCTCATCTACTGCCTTATGGGGTCACTCTTTTCTTACACTATACACACCTCTTTCTGTCGTCCCTTCCTTTTTAGGAACATGTGGAAGGCCTTCGCTGTGACTCTTGTCATCATGGTTACCACACCCTGGAGCAGCGGAACTCCCTGGGCTGTCTGCCGTGTGCGTGTGACATCCATGGCACTGTGCCAGAGGGTGTATGTGATATGTGGACCGGACAATGCCCTTGCAGAGAAGGGGTGGAGGGAGCACGGTGTACCAACTGTGCCCATAACTACTACAACAGGAGCTTACACGTGCAGAGTAAGAGAAGTTACATCCAAGTTTAGTGCCAGTGTTTTACTTGAGATCAATAGTGTTTAAAAAATGTCTCAGAAACTTTTACAAATGATATACTCTTGACAAGAAGACTTGGTTGAGATACAGTGCAGTTACTGTATTGAATGTAAATGGATGTCAGGTAACTACACTAATATCTTTACTTAATGTAAGACGTTTGTGTGTTGCAAAGCTTATGTGTTGTTGTTCAGTTGTGACAGTTTAGTTTTTCTATTCTGCTTTCTGATGTTGTTGTTTTGTGTCCTATCAGAGGGGTTGTCCCACGGCTGTGTGCCATGTATTTGTGACCTCAGAGGATCAGTGACTGGGTCGGTATGTGACAGCACCACAGGGCAGTGTGTTTGTGTCCCTACACGCTATGGAAAGGACTGCAGTAGCTGCCGACCTGGTGAGTGTGTTCGGAATAATGGATGGATGGATGGATGATGTATAGATCAACAAGACATTTAAAGAGTGATTGTATTGTCAGACTACCCAAAACTGGAAGAGATTCTGAGCAAAATAGTGAAGAACAATGGTTGGTAGTCCAAACTTTTAGTGTGTGTGTGTGTGTGTGTGTGTGTGTGTGTCTGTGTGTGTCTGTGTCTGTGTCTGTGTGTGTGTCTGTGTGTGTGTGTGTGTGTGTGTGTGCAAGCAAGCAAGCGAGAGAGTGTTTTGGCTTGTGCCTTCTGCCAGATCGCCACTCCGTGATTATCCTGTTTGTGCCAGGTCTCAACAACAGCGCCAGGGGGAAAGCTTCTTCACACTTGGATTTTTGTGGTTGCATTACCTCATGAATGTTTGTGTATGTGTGTATTGGTGTGTGTGTGTGTGTGTGGTCAGTCTTATGGGGCAAGGGGTAGCAGATGTTGTATTGTTTCGGTTATAGAGAGGGACCAACAGCATAGTCAGGTTTACTGTAACACAAGTTGTAAATGGGTGTATTGATGGAAAGATGTTAAAATGAGTAACAGAGGACACAGGATAATCATAATTGTATCACGAATATACCCAAAATCAAATAAAGGCAATATTCGGTACATAGATAGAGTTCTTTTCCAGCATTTTTCATTTCATTTCATTATTGTATTGCATTTGACAAGCTCCATCCTTCCAGAAATTGCCCCCCCCCAATTTCCTAAACTGCCAATTTATGATATGGTAAACAAGCCATTGCAAAATCTCTGTGTAAGTGGCTAAATAGAATATCTGATTTGTTTATCAGCTGCTATTAGCGTAGAGAAAAATAAACTGAATTGATTTATACTTTAGTACCCGGAGTGCTTAATTTAACCTCACCCACACTTATTGGCTTTGTGTTAAATTTTATTACAAATAAATGGCAGACAACATCCAAATGCTTATTAGGAGGGACTTAAAATGGTTTTCTCAAAATTGTACCAGGCTGCGTCCGAAATCACACTCGCTATTTGCTTTATAAGGAATTTTATATTGAACGTTGTTCAGTATACCGGTAATCAAATGTCAGCTGTCAAAGGAAGAGAATTACATTAGGCACTATTAAAATATGCAACATATATGATGGCTTGTCCATAGTTTTTACAATGCATATGAGGTACTGTCAGCCCACATTAAAATTTTTGAAGTGTAGAAAATTAAGTCAATATCAAAGGAAGTAGGAACAGAGGAAAAACAAAAACTAGACTTGGAGACAGATTGATAAAATGACAGACAAGCAATCAGATTCATATTGTTTAATTTTATTATTTTATGTTCTCTCTGTTCAGGCTTTTACCTCTCACCAGATCAGAGTGCCTGTGCAGAGTGTGACTGCCATCCGATGGGAGCATCACAGCGTGGTTGTGAGAGCCAGACCGGACAGTGTGTGTGTGCCCATCCCTCAGTGGGAGGGCGACGCTGTGACCAGTGTCGTGAGATGTTCTTCGGATTCAACCCTGGCCTGGGCAGGTAACTTGCAAAGTCAATCACACACACGCACACAGATGAACACCATATATGCTGCTTGTAAATCCTGTGAGGCATTTGTCCATTCATTTCACCACCTGAACATACAGTACACAAACACACCTAAGAGCACACACACCAGCAGGTGCACCCTCTGTAAGGACAGTTTACAGATTAGCTGGCAGACATATGACTTACATGAGTTAAGAGCTGCTTTGACCTTTACCGCTCATGTCTCTACCTGCAGGCTATCTCACACACACACACACACACACACACACACACACA